ATGTAAATTTCCTTCTAACTCTTACTCTCTTGTAAAAAACATAGCAAGCCAAAATATTACACACATATCTGTTCCAAATCTCTCTTCTTGCCATTTGTATGCTACCAGTTTGAAAGGTTTGAATCATATGAATTTATGTAATAATATCTTTATACTAAGCATTTCATAGAGACTCATTAAAAAGAACTGACTTCTAAAAGATGAATGGGGTAGGGGCGCCTGGGTGGCTCAGTCAGTTAAGCATCTGACTTCGGCTCAGGTCATGATCTTGCGGCTTGTAGGTTCAAGCCCCGTGTCGGGCTCTGTACTGACAGCTCAGAGCCCGGAGCCTGCTTCAGATTCTGTGTCTCCCTCTCTCTGCCCCTTCCCCAGCTCACACTCTGTCTGTCTCTCTCTCTCAAAAATAAATTAACGTTAAAAAAAAATTTTTTAAGATGAATGTGGTAGTAAATATATTTCTCAATCTTAGAACTGGCCATCAGCATCAATAAGAAGTTGAGAGAAAACTAAATTCAGAAAGTTGTGATGATTTCACCTAAGTTAAAGCTGACTTGTATGTAACTTGAAAATAGTCCTTAAAACATGAAAGACGAAAAGTCTAACATTCTTGTAATAATTAAATATATGTCAATAGTTACAAAGTAATCTCATCTACACACTAGAACAGACCGTGGAGGATTTTTGCTAGAAAACATTAAGAGTTACTTTAAGTTTGCATGAAAATAATTGAACTCTCTTTTTCTTGGTTTTTCACTAAGTCATACTGAAATTCCTTCATTTAGTGTTTTGGTGAGGTTTCAGAGTACAGAAATTTCTTTTTTTTCTTGATTTTTTGGAAATAAAATCACCACTCAGATTCCACATTAGTTACCAGGGTACCATTGCTAAATAACGTACTGTGCCCAAAAATCCTGACTTTTGCAGATGTTTCCAACTAATATTATTAACATTTTGAATCCACAAAATCGTTGTCAGCTACTTTCAAATTCCAAACACATCTCTGCTCTGTAAAATGGGCCAGGGTGGGTTTAGGGGTTAAAAAAAAAAAATCTGTGAGATAACCATTGTGTTCATCTCCTTTGGCTGGCAGCATAAGGCCACATAAAATGCCAATAGTCAACGATCCAAATAAATCATGGGTGGGGGAGGGCCTGGGCTGGCTGCAGGTCAGTTCTCCAAATTCGTTCTATTCATACACCCTTCCTTGAAAGCTGTCTCTTTGCCATTTTCAGAATAGGATGGCACAGGTGGACAGAAAAATTCAGAAGGTGTTGGGAAAATGATGAGCAACCCTTCTGAAGAGGAAATAAGCTACTTCATTGAATGCTATCTTTAAACATATAGTCACTCAAAAGTAATTGAACGTCACTTATTAACTTCAAAATAAAGGCACCTTTTATTTTCACAGTTCTAGCTATGGTTAGAATTGCACACTAGGATTGGATAGTACAATGTTTTCATATGGCAAACTCCCTCCTCACAGTTCAATATATTGCCAAAAAGCTATCATAAAGTGAAATTCATTTCTTTTTTTTTTAACGTTTATTTATTTTTGAGACAGAGACAAAGCATGAACCGTGGAGGGGCAGAGAGAGAGGGAGACACAGAATCGGAAGCAGGCTCCAGGCTCTGAGCCATCAGCCCAGAGCCCGACGCGGGGCTCGAACTCACAGACCGCGAGATCGTGACCTGAGCCGAAGTCGGACGCTCAACCGACTGAGCCACCCAGGCACCCCATGAAATTCATTTCTAAAAGAAGTTTGGGTATTCCTTCTGCCCAGTTAGGAGGTTTAAGGGTAATTAGGCTAGCTGTAATAGTAATAGCTGACCTTTCTGGGGATGTTGATACATTTGTGAGGGACATCTGTCTGGCAGAGTCTCTTCTAAAATTAGTGGGAAAGAGAGAAGGAAAGAGAGGAAGGAAGCGAGAGACTTTCTGTCCTCCACTCCCACCCAAGGCTCTGAATCAAAACCTCACTTACTTGATGACTTAATGTCTTGGTGGTTTGAATATCTGGGAGAGGAGAGGGCGTTAAATTTAGCTGTTTTACCTTCTATCTCAGCACAGAAACAAGACACAATCTCATCAGATTGAGAAATATCACCTTTGTGTAAATGACAGCTTTCCAGATATACGGAAAAGACTGACCTTGCTCCAATCAGTGGGCTTACTTTAAAACCACAGGCTCTTCATTTTTCTTCCTTTACCTTGGATTTGGGGGGAGGCAAGTGTTTTCCTGCCTAAATTCAAACTGATGCTCACTGGCCCCAATTCTCTGGGTTCCTTTAAACGCCTGTGCAGCGAGTGCCCTTACTGAGCTTAGGCGAGGTTTTTAAAAACTGTTTTAAGGAAGAGGAGACTGAGAAACGTGAGCAGAAAGCAACCTCGGGCAACTGGCATCACATTCTCTTCATTTTCTTTGTTCAAATTGTGGGCTGTCACTGCTCCTGTAATCCTTTTCAAAAAGAACCTGCATTTTGCTGGGCCTTGCTGGATCCGGGGAGGTTGTCGTTATTGTCTCCCCAATTTGTGGGAAATCAAAGTTCCTCCGGCACCAGGGTCAGAGTAAAATAAAAATGTCAAAGTGGGTGGGTACAGGGTTTAGGATGAGCTATTGCAGGTGTGCGGGGACGAGAGTCGAGCTTGTCTGAGCGGGCAAGCCCTCACACACACACACACACCCCCACACACACACACACACCATTGCTTTTTCGCGCAGTGCTGCGGTCAGCCAGCTACGCCGCCAAGCCTGGGCTGCGAGGGAAGGGGCGGGCTTCGGCGAAGAATGCTGGGTCCCCGAGATGCCCTAGCTGCAGCCAGCCAAGGTAGAACCTCTATGTCCACAGATAGACAGCGGGACCTGCGCGCGGGGGGCGGGGGGGGGGGGGGGGGCGGAAGAGTGTGACCCTCAGTGATCACGCCTATTGGCCTCGATCTGTCCTGGTCTCCGCGGCTGCGTGGGCACCTGGGCTCCTGGGCTCCTGCTCAGACCAGACCCTGGGCGCGCGGGCCAGGGCTAAGCCAGGACCTGGCGCCGGGGAGGGCGGAACGGGCCCCTGCAGTCAGCTTGCGCCTAGGCGGCAAGTGACACTGGGAGCTACACGCCCACTTCCCGCCTCTAGGGGGGCACTGTGTGGATGTTTGGTTCAGGTTCGCTCTTTTGCCTCCAGAGAAAACAAAGGTGGTTTTTGCCGTTTTCCCAAACATCCAAGGCGGGAGGACTGGGGTAGGGGCGGGAAGGATGTTATGCTCCACCTGTGCGCCTAGGTCGCCAGAAGCTCTAAGGAGCCTGCAGAACTCGACACCAAGGCAAGCTGGCTTCCAAAAAGGCTTGCGCAAAACTGGGCTGAATGGTGTCCTTATTTATTTATTTTTATTTAAATCTTCTTTAAAATCGGTTACCGCGCTCGGCACGGCTCACCATTTATAAACCGAACTGAAGACTGGGAGCCATTACCCATTTATTATTCGGGCAAAACCAAAACCTCAGCCCCGAAACAATTTGGCTTAAAATATTCACATCTTGAAGACAAATATATCTTTAAGGGTGCATTTGTTTCCAGTGTTGCAGCCTGAGAATCGATGTCAGACTTTTTGTTTTTGTTTTTGTTTTAATGGGTAATAACTGGAGTTCCCTAATGCACGCGGCGTCTCCCTTGGTTCTGGGCTCTCCGAGCTCCCAAGCCCTGCCCCCGCCGCCACCTCAGGTCTCACCACCGCTATCTCCTTAACGCTCTTTCCACCACCTGACCCAGCCGTACGGACAGCCTAGTCTCGATTCGCCCCTAAACGTACCGGATGCAGGACTCCCCGGTGACACCCTCCTCCCCAGGGGGCTGTGATGGGAGTGGGGAGTGCTTGGGGAGGATGCAGAGCAACGCCAGAAGCCGGTCCAAGCCTGCCGAGCTCTCAGAGAAGGAAAGGGAACAACGACGCACGTTTCGCAATCAAAATGCATCCTTTCTACGCTTCGAAAATGAAACCTAAAATCCCAGCAGCTGTTTTACTGGTTGAAGAGACTACATACAACAGCCCTGTCTGACCTCCCTGCATTCTCTAGGCCGACTCCTCTTGCAGTCCCCAAAAGTTACCGCAACTTTAAAGGACTCACGCCGAGGAGACCAGGGGCTGCCGGGGGCTGCCGGGGGCTGGGTAAGGCCTCCTGGACTCCTCGAAAGCAGCTCGCACGGGAGGGGCCGGATGCGGGGCGCCAACAACGCAGATGGGGCGGGTTCGGGTGGGGGACTTCAAAGAGAAAGTGCCGGGATCGAACACTGAGGCAGAAGGGACCGACCCCAGAGAGCTGAAGTGTGGGAGCTGGAGGCGGTCGGGCGGGCGGGGTCGGTAGAGGTGCAGGGACGGTCAGTACTGGCTTCAGCCACCGCCTTTTCCCCCCCCAAAAGGGAGCTGCTCCGCTCCCGGGAGGAGTCTTCGCACTCCCTGGACTTCCTGTCTGAGACGACGAGGATCCCCCTAGGGGATTCCTGGGGAAGGCGCTACCTTCCCGGCGCTCACCAGGCGCGGAGAGCCCACCTCCTGCCCCACCTCGCCAACCCCGGGCGCACACACTCTCAAATCTCCAGTGTGAGGCCGGGGCTCTCCCAAGGGACCTTTGCCACCACGCATCAAACTTTTTTCTCTCCCCAAGTGCGAGAACCCCCACTTCCCCCCGTCCACGCTCCCCCCCTCCGTCTGGCCCATTCCGTCTCTCTCTGGGTTTCTCTCTGTCCCTCTCTCTCTCTGTCGCTTTAGCCTGAGAGTCCTACTCCTCCCGGTGAAAAGCCTCCGGCCTCAAGCTCGGGGGTGCGCCGTTCGCGGTACCCTTGGCCCCCAGCTCGCCGCCGGGCAGCCCCGAGAAACACCTCGGTAGCCCCTCGGCCTGGTCCCGGCTCCCTATTGGCCCCCGGTCCCCGCCCCCACCCCCACGGCCCCCTCCCCCTTCCGCGGCCCAGAGTGGCGTCAGCACGCCTCTCAGGCGTGGGGTTTAAATGCCCACTAGCGGGAGCACCGGCGCTTCTGTCCCGGAGCAGCGTCCGGGTTGAAATTGCCGGGTGGGAGGGGAGCCTGCGAGCGAGCGGGATCCCGAGCCGCGGAGCGCGCTGCCCACCGCTCCGCCCGCAGATGACTCGGGAGCTCGAGCCCAAGCGCCGCCCATGCAGCATCCCTGCGCTCCACCGACCGAGAGTTGATGATAAAATACTTAGCCGTCTCCGCTGCGGGGAGCCATGAGCTGTCTGGATGTTATGTATCAAGTTTATGGTCCTCCCCAGCCTTACTTTGCAGCCGCCTACACCCCCTACCACCAGGTACGTGTCTCCCCCGGGCCGGGACCTCGGAGACGGGTGGCGCGCCCCCGCTGCCTGGAGCACCGCCTGTACCCCGAGGTCCGGGACGCCTCCGCACAGGTCCGGGGCGTCCTACCAGCGGCGGGAGCCTCGGGGATGCGGCGATTGCCGGCGCTGCCACACGGTCGCTTGAGCTAACCCTTTAGCGTGTCCACTTGCGCTCCCGGGAAAGCAGCTAAGCCCTGTTAATGCGTGCCCCGTCCTTCCGGGGAACAATCAGACAAGGTTCGTGTGAGCTGAATTGCCTCCTTAGAGTCTGTCGGACTCCAGATTCTTCGGTGCGGGGTAAGGGGAGCTGCGATCAACGCTCACGCAGGGAAAACCAAACTTTGGTATCAAAGGTGAGAGTGACAAGAGAACAAAAGTAAAGACCTGCCTGTGCCTCTTTCTGTCTGAAATGCAAAGATCTGGCCACTCATCCCTGCAAGCTTATCTAAGGAGTAACTTTATTCCGTTTAAATTCTCAAGGGATCAGGCCAATTAATTCCGGGACCAGAGAATTCGTTACAAAGAGAACTGCGCAAAAGCATGGGTTTTATCATCTTTGCTCTGCAAAGTTCTGGGGATTATTATTGGGGTGCAGTTGACCTGGCAGAGGAGGGCTTCAAAGATAATATTCTTTTCGCTTTTCTTGAGGCTGAGTAGCTGCATCAGGCTGTCCTGCTCTCCACAGGACAGTGGTTACCTGTAAGAAGACCACTTAACCCCAATTGGGCAAACTCTTGAAGTTTCCTTTAATTATTCCATTTTCTCTCTTCTCCGAGCTGAGTCTGGGCGACCAGTTTTTCTTCCCATTTCCTCAGCTAGTGTAGGAAAAACTGAGGACCGTAGTCCAGTAAAAGAGTAAGTTCACACACCCAGGAGGCCGTAGGGGTCCCAAGCAGATTTCAAAGTGAGGGCTTGGACCCCTGCTTCAGAGAGACAGAAGTACATCCGGACCCCCAGTCCAAGTTTTTGCCCATTTTGCTTGCAAATTCGGAACGTCTATTCAAAAATTTCCTGCTGAATTAATGATGGAAGGAGTAGGTTTTGCTTTTTGCTTTTTTCCTTCTACCTCCCCCCTTTTTAAACTTTCCATCCAGGGAGTTTGTTTAGTCTCACAATATTCATTTGGGGAATCCTCAGAGTCCCTCATTATAAGCCAAGCGGGAATGTGGTGAAAGTGGTGATATTGCTAAATAACTACAGTCTTTTTGGCCTCAGTGTCTGAGATGGTTCCTTCCCAGGCTGTGACTATTGCAAAGAGGAGAGGTGGGTTGATTTTCTGTCTGCTTGGTCCTTTCTCCCCCCTGGGCCTGGACCAATAATCTCTTCCACTAAGATCTCCGTTCATCTTTGTATGATCAGCCCGCTTTGAGGCCATCTCTCCCTGCATAAATGCTTTAACACTGCATTCAGTCCATTGCTCACTTCTAAGAAAACATTTCAGCAACCACACTTGGTTTTTAAAATCGCTACCAGACAGCCATAATTCACTCAACCTCACAGCCAAGATCTTCTTCTCTCCCTTTTATTACTTGTTTCCCCAATGTGCATAGAGATGGTGAAAGCAGAAGTGCTCAGGTTTTTCCTCACTCAAAAGAAGACCTCTTTAAAAACTGAGCTAGACTCTTGCGTGGACATTTTATGGGTGACCAAACAAATATCAACTTGCATTTATTTAAATGATTCATGTCAGGATGTCATTCCACGTTTTACCCCACATGATTCCTTCCCAAATAGAACTACCTCATACCTCTTCGCAGTTCTTCATTCACATTCCTGGCTGTGCTGCACAGAGTGGATTTTGGTGTTTTCGCGCTCTATCACAACGATGCTTAAAGTCTTGCATCTTGTGCATCTACCTTGGATTCTTAAGCAGGGGACAATCAGGCCCGAACTGGAATTGGATGCCCTTCACCCTTGGAGCCTGATTTTAAAAATACATCTGCCCTGAGCCTGGCTCTGCGGTCAAACTCCGCTTATATCCTGGCTGCTTAGGCATCTTCTGGGACCTTTACCCTGACACCTTCAGAGAGCTTTCCGTGTGGTCTAGCGGCGATTCTGGGGAGACAGAGACACCAAGAAAGGCAGTCTGCCTGTCAAGAAGCTCGCACAAGCTACTGAGCACAGGGGCTTATGCATGAATGTCAGTTTTCCCCTGGATACCTTAGGGATCTGACCCCAATTTGCCATCTCTTTTGAAGCTGACTCCTCTATTCTTTCTCTCTTTGAGCAGAAACTAGCCTATTACTCCAAAATGCAGGAAGCCCAAGAGTGCAACGCCAGCCCCAGCAACAGCAGCGGCAGCTCCTCCTTTTCCAGCCAAACTCCAGCCAGCATAAAAGAGGAAGAAGGCAGCCCAGAGAAAGAGCGCCCACCAGAGGCAGAGTACATCAACTCCCGCTGCGTCCTCTTCACCTATTTCCAGGGAGACATCAGCTCCGTGGTGGATGAGCACTTCAGCAGAGCCCTGAGCCAGCCTAGCAGCTATTCCCCAAGCTGTACAAGCAGCAAAGCACCCAGGAGCTCGGGGCCCTGGCGGGGTGAGTAAAGGGCCCGCTTCTAGGGGCAAATAGAGAGCCCTCTCAGCCTGGGGCCCAGCCACAGAGGCTCGAGGGAAGGCAGCTGAAGGAATCCTAGGTGTCAGAGGAGTTGAGGATGGGCATGTGGGGAGAGTAAGTAAAAGGAAGGAAGAAAGACCTCTCCTTGCAGAGGCAGAGCAGAGTAGAGCAGCGACCTAGAAAAACCACCAGCCTTGGAATTGGGAGTCCTGGGTTTCGTGCTGGCTCCACCAACTTCCTAGCAACATGACCTTGGGCAAGTCTCTTAACCTCTTTGAGGTCACTCTATTTACTGGTCTCTAAAATTAGAATGATACCTGCCCTCTTAACTATCCCTGGAGATGGCTGTTCAGCAAACAGAAAACTGTGTGTAAATGTGCTGCGGAAATGTGAGGTTTCCAACACTCTCCCCAGCCCTGAGGGAGATCTGCATCTACAACAACTTACAGGGCACTTGTAAGTTCCTGAAAATTTGCCCAGAGAAAAAAGTCTTAGACCCCACTGTCAGCAAAACCTGCTGAAGAATGTCTCCTAAACCGTCCGTATGCTTTTTGCCAGGTTTGAATTCCTTAGGAAATTTTGAAGCAGAAAATGTCTTTCAGAAAGAAAATTAAAGTACCAAAGAAATAAAAATTTAGGTACAGCTGAAACATCTCTAAGGATTTTCGCCAAACACACCCCCCTCTTTATTCTACCCTTCTCACAAAGCACTGCTTTCTCTAGCCTGGGACAATGATTTATTGGACAAGTCAACTAAATCTCCCTTCCATTCTGAAATCTCAATCTCCTTTAACTTCCAGGACAAGGAAACAAACTTTCTCACTAAACTTAATTCTTGATGTGTACCGAGCTGAGAAACGAAGACTTTGCTGTAAAAAGGAACACAAGTATTACATTTTATGGGGAAATGACAACCCCCACCCTCCCTTTTTTTCTTAAGAGTGTCTGACAGTTTGTGCAAGCCTTGCCTAGATAAGATCCCAAATCATGAGTTTTGAACACAGAACATTCTTTTTATTCTCCAGTTGCCTAAATATTTTTAACAGGAAGACAGTTCACCACTTAGAATGCATTTTTAATTTTTAATTCTTTAGAATGTTCTGCAGATGCCTTCCCCAGAGGAGATGCTCAGTACAGGTCCCTAGGATTAAATCTTTCTTTCCCTGCCCTTCCACTAAAGGCAACACATTTGACCTAAATGCTGTTCTCTTAAAAATGCCTCCAGGCACTAGGGGTCAACAGTGATACTAGCAATAATAATTATTATTCCTGGCGTCCACGCTTTAACGAACAAATATTATTAATTAAAACGTAAAAGATCTGTCCCTTTGTGTCCCTCTGCAAATAATACAGCTGCCCTTTTAGTAAGTCTAGTTTACTCTTTTGCTTGAGTTCTTGGAAAAAAATATTTGAAAGAAGGTTTCTAGAAAGGAGGCTAATAATAGCAAGACTTCGAAATATGTCGATGGACTTCCAGTCTATCAGAGGCCCTGGAGGGGCACATTTTCTGGAGCTGGGGAGGGTGAAACGCGAGAGGGGGTAGTGAAATCCCTAGGCTGCCGACCAAGAGTGGGAAGAGGTATCTTTAGCTAGGGGAGAGAGAGGCTGCGGGTTGGGAATGGGAGGCCGTGTCTGCCCCGGAGCCGCCGAGGCAGCGCAGCCCGCAGTGGAGGAAGCTCCCAGCGCCCCAAAACTGGAACTGCAGAGGGGAATCTCACCGCTCTGCCTCCCCAGCCTGTTCTGGGGTTTCCGCACTGGAAACGCGTCTGCGAAATCCGAGGAAGCCGCCCTCCTTCCCAAAGAGTTTCTCCCATTTTGCGGTGCCTCGACCTCGAATTCGCAGGGTGCATCCGCCTCCGAAAGACGCCGCCCCCGTGGGCGGGCAGCGGGTCGGCTCCCGGCCGCGGCTCGCCCGCACTTTGCCCGCCTGGCGCGTTCAGCGCTCCCGCTTCCATCTACCTGCGGTGACGCGCTCCTCTCTTCCTTTCCTCCCCTCCGCCTCGCCTGCCTGCAGACGGCTCCTTCCCGATGAGCCAGCGCAGCTTCCCCGCCTCCTTCTGGAACAGCACGTACCAGGCTCCGGTGCCCGCGCCGCTGGGCAGCCCGCTGGCCACCGCGCACTCGGAGTTGCCCTTCGCCGCCGCCGACCCCTACTCGCCTGCCGCGCTGCACGGCCACCTGCACCAGGGCGCGGCCGAGCCCTGGCACCACGCGCACCCGCACCACGCGCATCCGCACCACCCCTACGCCCTGGGCGGCGCCCTCGGCGCCCAGGCCGCCGCCTACCCGCGGCCCGCCGCCGTGCACGAGGTCTACGCGCCGCACTTCGACCCGCGCTACGGGCCGCTGCTG